CCAGTTTTATTTAAGAAAGGACTTGTATCGGTAAAGTTTCTTCGGAAAAGAATTTTTACGGAAATTAACTAACGAATGGAGGCGTAACAGAATAACCAACAGTTTAAAAAGAACTTACATTTCCGATATAATATGTCTGCGTCTCCAAAGATTAAATTTAAATTGGCAAGCCTTAATGTAAGCCCACCTCCCACCCCGTGGCTCAGCGGTATGTCTGCGAACTTACAATGCTAAAAACCGGGTTTCGATACCCGTGATGGGCACGGCACAGATAGCTCATCGTGTACAAACAAACTATATATAAGTACCAGTTTGAAACAAATACTATTTTAATGAAATGTCGGAAAATAGTTGGACCCATAACGCAATTAAACACATAATCTTAATATTATCGAAAGGTTATTTAACAATATAGAGTAACAGTTTTAACAAATAAAACACGGTTCAAACTACAGCTTCTAATTGTTTGTTTTAATATTCTATATAAATTATTACACTCAGGCACTCATGGAAATATCGTTTAGGTTTGGTTTGAATTATGCGAAAAGCTACACGAGGGCTATCTGCGCTATGTATTATTTTAACTTTATACACAAGTGCCAAAATACAATAATTAACCATCACCCTTATAACATTTTTAGTTTGAGTTGCGTTAAGGGGACGCGAACAACGGACCGCAGATCCATAGTACGCCACGCTATCCACTGGACCACGCTCGGCCGAAAAGTTCACTTAAAGTTAGAGCATTCACAACAAAAGGTGTTTGATAGCAATAATTTGACCTTTAGAACTTTTATGTTGGCAGGTGTTGTTGTTTCAACGATTTTCATCCAGAATTTTAGTTTTAACTCTTATAACGCACCAAAGGCACTAGAGTGCAGGAGGCGATCTTGCAGCAACGGGACGCGAACCATAAACCTCCAAATTCACATTCCGGCACACTAACCAGTAGGCCATGCCCGTCTCATTTCCTGTGAAACATGGAATGATGAGATGGGCCTATTATTAGTACACGTATAAGAAAAATAACAAAAATGTTATCAAGTTAACGTCTTGATTGATCTAATCTTTACAAACAACATTTTCAGAATGGAAAACAGTAAATTTTTAAAGAAATGCAATAAGAAATTCCAACGTACGTCTCATGAGTCATAATGTACCTTAGAGGCTTAGACGACAAGAATAACGTGAATAATAGTGTAACTATAACAACAGAATACCACGTGTGCTTACGGTAACTGTATTTACTCACCAGCATGGCCGGGTGGTTAGGGTGCTCGACTCGCAATCTGCGGGTCGCGGGTTCGAATCCCTGTCCTACTAAACATGGTAGCCCTTTCAGCCGTGGGGGCGTTGTAATGTGACGGTCAATCCCACTATTCGTTGGTAAGAGTTGGCGGTGGGTAGTGATGACTAGGTGCTTTCCCTCTAGTCTTACATTGCTAAATTAGGGACGTCTAGCACAAATAGCCCTCGTGTAGCTTTGCGCGAAATTCAAAAACAAACAATCACCAGCACTGGTGTAGAACATTTATCAACCACCGAGAAAGTCACTAGTTGGTGTCTAAACATATGGCAGGCTCTAGATATTGATATAGACTTGATTTTAAGTGCATTTTATCGTATTATGCTGTTAGATATATAAAGAAAACACCACTGTCTAAGGAAAAAATATGCATTTGGACAGGGGAAGTGTGATGTGCTGGATCTGATGTTCTATCTATTGTAAGCATGCGCGGGCAAGTTATGAACGAATCGAGTCCAAGTATGAGAAAAAGCAAGAACACAAAAATATGATTACGAACGGACGTTTGATGTGTGGATACGACCCTAGAACTGCCCCTGGATACGACTGGATGCCCCTAGATGACCTGGATCTACCACCGAGTAGTGTAAACGTTTCGGAAATTTTACGAATGTATAATACTTACCTGACGAATATTGTAGTTTCGCCTCACCTAGCGGCTAATATTCACATTTACACAGTTCATCACCGGACCTCATAAAATACATCGCAAAAGCTTGCTATTATCTATCACAACTTTGAAAATAAACTTAAAAGTCTGAAGCAACTTTTCATGGAGAAAACGTTTATTCAGTAATGATCATAACTGCGTCTAAACTTGTCCTATTAAGAAATTTGAAATCCGAAACTTTATGTCGTGTAATGAGAGACTTTTTTTTTTCTGACAAAAAATCTCCTACCTTTTAATAGTTTTCTTTGGTCTCGAGTACAGTAATATCGTATAGGATAGCAACCACCTTCTCCCCTCGCACGTAAAATACGGTTTAGTCCAATTCCCTAATACGTAATCGTTGTCCCCATTCATCTGGTGCTCGCTTTTTATTCCCCCTTGAACGGTGGTTATTATTTCGTCCAACCAAGGACTGTCTTCCATCATCGAATAATCATGACGCTCTTCCACCTTTGGAGTAACTTCACTAGTGTTATAAATTCTTCTGATCTGAACGTAGTAAAAAGGTTTCCATATCGTACCGTTCCCAATCCACACAATTCGTGTAGCAAAAATCACATCGTCAGATTGAAAAAGCTCCGTCACGAAAGTTTTAAGTATCCCTGTTTGAAAGAGGGAATTTGTATCTTAATATACTTTTGAACTAACAAATTAATTGCATTTTATAAATTGTAAGCGCGCTATAGTTGAAACAACTTGAAAAACAACAACAATAATCTATATACCTTGTGAATTGTAAGGCACAATTTCTCAAATATCATAAAACGAAATAAACCGTTATGAAATAATCTCATTTCATTTTCTTTTTTTTCAGTGTCTCATTTTATTATTAAAACGTATAGTCATGTTAAGTCGGTGGCAACATTTTATTATTAAAACGTATAGTCATGTTAAGTCGATGGCAACATTTTATTATTAAAACGTATAGTCATGTTAAGTCGGTGGCAACATTTTATGATTAAAACGTATAGTCATGCTAAGTCGGTGGCAACATTTTATTATTAAAATGTATAGTCATGTTAAGTCTGTGGCAACATTTTATTATTAAAACGTATAGTCATGTTAAGTCGGTGGCAACATTTTATTATTAAAACGTATAGTCATGTTAAGTCGGTGGCAACATTTTATTATTAAAACGTATAGTCATGTTAAGTCGATGGCAACATTTTATTATTAAAACGTATAGTCATGTTAAGTCGGTGGCAACATTTTATTATTAAAACGTATAGTCATGTTAAGTCGGTGGCAACATTTTATTATTAAAACGTATTAAAACGTGGAAATTAATATATACAATGCTATAAAGAACAATCCGATGGTAACTAATAAATAAAATTGTTTAAAGAACAACCGTGCAGTTTTAATAAATAAAACTATGTAAAGAGCAATCAGGAGACAATTGACAGATAAAATTCTCGAAAGAACGACCCGATTGTAAATCATAAGCAAATGGCGCGGGTTGGCCCTGTGGTTGAGCTCTGGATTTCAGAGTTGGTGAGCTAGGTTCTAATTCATGTTACACCATAAAATTTTCGCGCTGAGGATATGTTATAAGAATGACAGTCAATCCCTTGGCGTAGATACTGGATGAAAAATGTTGTTCATTGGCTGCCTTACCTCTGATCAGTAGTTCAAAATTGTGGACGGCAGCAGATAGCCTTAATTATAACTGTGTAATAAATACAAGATACAAATACACAAGTAAAATCTTGTAAAGAACGACCTAGCGGCAATTAACAAGTAAGTTTCTACGAAGAACGACCGGATGACAATTAATAATTACACTCCTGTAAAGAACGATCTGAGGAAAATTAATGAATAAAATTATCTAAAGAATTGACGACCTGATTGCAATTAATAATTACAATCCTGTAAAGAACGACCTGAGAAAAATTAACGAATAAACTTATCTAAAGAATTAACGACCTGATTGCAATTAATAATTACAATCCTGTAAAGAACGACCTGAGAAAAATTAACGAATAAAATTATTTAAAGAATTAACGACCTGATTGCAATTAATAATTACAATCCTGTAAAGAACGACCTGAGAAAAATTAACGAATAAAATTATCTAAAGAATTAACGACCGGATGACGTAACCACCTTGATCACTTATTTGTCTATGAGTGTTTGTATTCTGAATAACTGATTTACATAAACCACATATGGGTTACTTTGTTTTGTAATGCTCATATATATCTCATTACTTTACACAATAGTTTGCATTTGTATTTACGGCAAAGCTATAAAGCTACCTGCCTCCGTCCATAATTTTGAGCTGCTGACCAAAGGGAATACAGATAGTCAGCAACACCCTAACATCCACACTATAGGACTGACTGTCACCCTCATAACGCATCCACAGCTTAAAGTGCGAGGAATATTTTGTGGTATCGCAGAGATTGGAACCCAGCCCGCAGGCTCAGAGATCCAAAGCTCTACCACACAGACTCACACATGACGTCATACACATGTGTGAGCACATCCTATTGTTTTTAAATATGAGATTATAATGACTGTTCTAAAAAATAGTTTTTCATAATTTGAAGGTAATCCCGTTATTTTTTTAAACAAACTTTTAATTTTCAAACTCTTCAGGTCGTTATTATTTTACCTTCATCTTCTTCTGGATAATATCCCACCAAAATTTTCGCAACTAAGTCCACCTTCTGTCGGACAATATCAAACAATTCCGTCGGCATCGTCAATGAAAAATGGCGATAGAACATTTCCCTCTCACAGAAGGATGGTTTGGCTACTTCATCTATTTTCTGCAGCAATACATCCAGTTCACTTACGGTTTCTCTGGTACTTTGTGTTTCTTCCGTCCTCTGAAATTCATACATTTAAATAATTTTGTATTCACCAATAACGTAATATTTTAGCATAAGTCTAATTTAAGCAATCCAGAAATTATCTGCTTCTGTGTGGATGCAATTAAAATATGACTTATGAAATCATAAAGATCAGTAATACGAGCTTCTTCAGAATAGGTTAAAAAAACTGAAAAAAGTGATTTTTCTATCGCTATCAAAGATCGAAACGAAACAGCTTTCATGTTGCATTTACCATTGCAACACTCACATGCAGCCTAACGAAACACTAATAAATAAAACTGAATAAATAATTATTGTTTCTACGATACAAAACAAATTAGAGTACTATTTTTTTTATTTTGATTAGTTCAAGTTTTATTTTAAACAGTTAGTAAAATACTGAGCTCACGGAGAATATTCTAGAAAAGCAGATATTAAATGATACATTTTTCTGGTACTAAATAACACATTTTTTCACTGTATTAGTTTGTAAGTATACTAGATGAACCATAGAAAACACTAAACATTTTACCGGATAGTTATTTATCTTCCTTCGAACCTGCTTATGTTTGCACTCGAAGCAACCTTCGGCCACAAGTGGAATCATTGTTGTCCATAACAATACCATAAGAATCACAGCTTCATCAGCCGAGTTCGGGCGGGAAAATATGTTCGTTTTCATCACGTTCTGAATACCTTACTTCTCTCCCAATACATAAGGAACTGTTCTAGCTTAAATAAAAAGTTTCAAGTGAATGTTTCTAATTTTTAATTTTATATCAAATTTCATTACTCCTAATGTTTCATCTATTTAATCTGTTTCGTTAACACCTAATATGAATAGAAGTTTACAAACAGGATAAAGAGTAGCTTTGTTTGTTACGATAAACATGTATTTTGATGCAAAACATTTAATATGCTGGATACCATTGAAACTGTTTATGCAGTGTCAAAATAACTCAACATAATTAAGACATTTGAACTGCTTATATATTGCTAAGAGAAGTCAATATGGTTAAGATATTCAACAAGATTGTACGTTACTAAGGAAACTCAATATAACTAAGACATTCATGCTGTTCTTACGAATTAAAAAGTTGAAGCTACTTACTCGTTACTAAGGAAACTCAATATAACTAAGACATTCATGCTGTTCTTACGAATTAAAAAGTTGAAGCTACTTACTCGTTACTAAGGAAACTCAATATAACTAAGA